TCTATTCTGGTGCATGATATACTTTTATGTTCTAAAATGCATATCTGAAAGCTATATGAATTATTTTGTGAACAGCCTGTAGTGTAAAAAAGTAATCTTATTGAAATATGTTCCCAAGTACAAATAGACCTATAGCTAAGGTAAGTGCTAATGTTTTTGTTTTTTATGTATATTTGTTATTGATTATTATATATTTTTAACAATATAAATTAAAATGTAAAAATTTATTAGGTTGAATAAAGAAAACTTAATTGAAAAAAGAATGAAATAAAAACATTTCATCAGATGTAACCTGGTAATTTGTTTACTATAAGCTCTCTGCTCTCTTGCTGGGTGATATATTGGTTATCACACTATTAATATTGGTTCAAAGTAAAGTAATGAAAGCTAGAAAGTTGAGACTGTTATAATAAATAATTTTAATTGTCTCTTACAATCTACATTCATTGTAGAAAAAGTATTTTTGGTTTTATTTTATATTTTTCAGTTTTTTCATTTCATTGTACATTAATTGTAGATTCATTGTAGAAAAAAATATTTTTGGTTTTATTTTATATATTTTCAATTTTTCATTTCATTGTACATTAATGAAGTTGCTAGTGTTAAAGTAGAAATAAGAGATAAAGTATTAATGAAAAAACTATTCATTTTGGAGGTTCTAGAGGTTATGCAAATAAGATATGGAGACTGTAAGATGAAAGAAATATTTTTATTCTTAACATGAAAATCATCTTCCACTCAGACTGACTCAATAAAGACTTTTTGAATTCACAGACAAATATTTAACAGGAGTAGTTTATTAAAAAATCTGATTCTTTTGTGTGCAATAGACTTGTCATATTGTTAAAAAACTTGCCCAATTTTGTGAAGATGTGCCTAGTAAATTCAGAGGTATAGTATGTATTATTTCATTGTTACATGTAGTTATAAGGTCAGTCAAATTGACTGATTCATATGCAAAAATAATGTAGGATTCAGTTTAAGTACTGGACAATATTTTTTGTGTAGACAATTGTTACTTTAGTGAAAAAAATGACAACTTTGACTTAAGTGAAAAACAACCTTTGCCAAATTAATATCGAACTTTATAGTTTCCTTTTGAGCTTACTGATCATAAGTATTATTTTATTATAAGTTATAGCTTTTACAGTAAAGAAGAATATTCAATAAAGGTCTTAATTATGCAGTAACTCCTACCTCCATCAAGTGTTAGATTTAGAAATTAGCTTTGAAGACATTTGCGGGAAGGTAATAATACAATCAAATCATAAATCCAATGAACAGTACTTAATCCCAAATCCAAGACCTCAAGAAGAATCTGTGTGTAATTCATTGCTGGACAATGAAGAATCATTGGAAATACTCAACATTCCAAAAAATACGTACAACTGAATGAGAAATTTCCCTACCAAACTAAAAGCAGGTCCATTAAAAACTTTCTAGATGAAGTCTGTGAAAAGACTTTGAAAATACCAAACAATAAAAAAGCCTATAAAACAAAATTTGACATCAGCAGAAAGAAAAGGCTTAAAACTTCTCTGAAACAACGAAGACATTGTCATTCAAATGTCTTATAAAGGAAGCTATTGTGATTCTACCAGCCAAATAGTATGATTCCTTAATTGTAAATATATTAAATCATACGTCTAATGGGAAATCCATTATCAGGTACTTTGGCCACTCTTTTCTTATATTTCATAGAACAACATGTCAAAGTCACTTCCTTATAAAAAAAACCTGTATTTTGGCTTTACTTATCAACATGAACAAACAAAAGCTCTTAAAAACGTAAACAATCTACACAAAGTTGAAAATGAAAAGAACTACACAATAAATCTTTAAAACATAAACATCACCCCCCCCCCCCCCCAGGTTTACTAATCATGTAATCTACCAGAAGCTAAGCACTCTAAAGAACTTCCTAAATTTAGCATACACTAAATGTACCACAGAAAACATTGAAGAAGTTGTACACTTATTAACTTATTTACTAACATAAACTAATTTCCTACTACAGTAGTTCCATAAGCTATTAATAAACACGGAAGACACATTTATTTAATAAATAAAAAAAAAGACACTCCACAAAACAAAGGAAGCCTGATCACTTTCACTACCCTGCATATAGAAAATATTAGCATACCTCTATCAGACATTTGGACTCGTTTTCACCCCTGGAATGAAAATTAAACACATTTTAAGAAAACTGTATAATGAACCCACACCACAAAGAAATATTTAGAAAATAAAATGTAACAATTGTCTAGCCTTTTGCATCTGGTTAAAAGAACATCAAAAACCTCTTCCAAAGTCTATGAATATATGAACAAAAACAACCACAGTTTGTCTGAACAGAATGTCGCAATACGTTAACAGAAGAAATATCAGAGAAGCTTTATTAATGAAATCAGACAATCCCATAGTCAAAAAATACCCAGGCACATCTCTATATGTAATATTTGTGCCAATAGAATACAATATATTTCGAGAAAGCTTTCTCTGAGAGGAGGTAAGATATTGTATCAAAATTCAATATTATGTGTGATCATTCTCAAGTACCTAAGTTTTAACGGTAAAGAAGGTTTTAGGATTTAAATCGACCTTCATCAACATAACATGGAATTTAAATTTTACAATGGAGAGCAGTTGCTTATGCATGTGCATATCAAGCTGCATGAATTGAAATTATTTATGGTTGAACAAAAAAAAAACTAACAAAAAAGTAAATAAATATAAGAATGTGGAATAAGTTATGAAAATATTTGCATAAGATTGGGAGTGCATGGTGAAATAACAATCAAAGTTCTACTTATTTCTTCTTATTAACATGAAAATGACCATGCTGCAACCCTCCACCAATAAGAGTGCGACACTACCACTATTGTAACTAGAACCCTCTCTAATCTTGCAACTGTTAACCACTTCTCGATTGGCAGTCTTATTGAATAAATGTGTTTTCACTCACAGTTTGATTCACTTATCCACAAGTTTTTACTTTCTTAATTTTTCTACTTTAATTACATTGTTCCTTACTATTTTTATTCTTTGTGGAAAGTTACAAATAATTTTATTTATCCTCTCTCTTCTATCACTTTTGTGAGTTATGCATTTGCAATTTCAGGTAATCATGACTACAACTGCTGCAGCAGAATTACCGACTATGTCAAACAGGTTGGAACCACGATTCTTGGCCCATGAAGTGATGGCTCGGGTCCATCACGAGTTGAACCAATTTCTTGCAACAATCAAAACAAATTTCAGTGATCGGGAAATTTTAGATTTGTAAAGCCCTTTTTTTTTCCCCCTCCTAAATACGTCTCTCAGTCAAGTAGTATTTTGGGTGACTTTCCCCAATCTTTTTCCCCTTTGGTGAATTTGATCATTCAGATATGTTCTTATCTTCTGTTTCCTTTGTTCTGTTCCTGCCCTTCTTGAGGACTAGCCTTTGGGATATTATTTTAGTGTTTCCTCTTTCCCTGGATATTAGGGTTCATGCAAGTCATTTTGGAGAGCATTTGCATTCAGGGGCTGATATGCCTTGATCCCCATGTACTGTGGACAATCATGCTTTTGATTATCATTGTTACAACTTACCTTAACTTTCTTTACACAGGTTCAGTTAAATTGACTGACCACGTGATATCTTTCCTGTGAGAAGGAAGTTTGTAACCAAACAAGATTGGATGCTAATAAAATTATGTTTGGTCAGAGCAATGACAATATTATAGGGAGTAATTTACATTAAATTTCATACTTATTGGGGTGGTGGTGAATAAATTAGAGAAGATGAGGTGCCAAGAGAAATAATGTCACATTTCTCACACCAGGGAAAATTCAGGATTTTTTTATATTGACTTCTGGAATTAAGAACTTAAAACTTATATACTATTAAAATGTGGATTAGTAGCTATGATTTTATGCTATACTAATTGGCATAACAGAAACAAAAAGCTGTTTAATTAAATTTTGAATGTAACTCACTAAAACTCTCATGACGTGTGGTAAAGGTGTTTGAGCAGAATGAATTAATTGGACTCTTGGCATTTGGTGTAGTTGCTTCCTTAGTGGGGATCAGACCCCAATAATTCAATTACTTTTTCCTGTATTTGCCTTACCCTGACCACCATTCTCAGGTCAGGGTGAGTGGGGGGCCAGACTACTTAAATTTGCCCCCATGTGGAGGTCTTTGGTGGTCAATCCATGGGTTCTGCCAGTTGCTTCAGTAAGTCTGTTTCCATTCATCTCCCCCATTGTCTCACAGTCCTGTTTCCTTCCCTCCTCCTCGAGATCCAGTTTTTTTGCCTGCCTGATTCATTCCAGGGGCCTTCTTTTCCATTGATTTATGGATGTATGGTTGCTTATTGCCTCCTCACAAGATGGCTCAGTCTTCCCTCCTCAGTTCATTCTCATGAAGGGTTGTTGCATAATCATTTGCATTTTAGTATGTGGAAATTAACTGGGAGTATCAAGGCTAGTAGCTAGCAAAAATTTGTGCCAATAGAAGGCAGTATAAGTTGTGAAAGCTTTTTGTCAGCGGAGATGTCTATCAGAAAAACATTTTCAGTTTAGGAAAATGTTAACCTTTGTTGATTCAGTTAATATTTAATTGATTCATTAATGTTTTCTACCCAGAAATATTTTGGATTTTATGATATTATTGAGGAAAAAGTTTTATGTAAATTGCATATTGTGTTGATTACCCACAGCAAAAAAATGTATATTTCTGATTTAAAACACCTAATGATGATATTATCTGTATTTTACATTATTAATTTATCTTGTGATTCATATAGTGCAAGTGTATTTCATTTCTAAATATCTTTTGGGTTTTTTGTTGTTGTTAATATAGTGTATCAGTTACTAGGTATTATTGTTTAACATGGCATTAGAAATACCATGGATGGTCCATGTTAGACTAAAATTAGCATGCATATTTTTCAGTATGATTTTTGTTTTCATTTAATACCTAATAATTTGTATAAATGTTTGGTTGGCTTTAGGCTCAAAAGCCATGGGCTAAACTACTGGCCAAAGTGAACAAAGCTAAGTCTGACTATCACACAGCATGTAAAAATGAGAAGTCAGCTCAGAATCAAGAAAGAAATGCCAATGCTGATACCTCATTGTCTCCTGATCAGGTAAGTTAAGCTTCTTTTATTTTTTGTGCCTATTACACATATAATTAACATAAGTATCTAAGTAAAAAAAAACTGATGATGGCAGCTTACTGGACTAGGATCTTCAGGTTGATCATTTGCATCCCCCCAAAATAATTATTACACTTTGGGATTATATGTGTTTTATAAGGGTAATGTTTGTTTGGACAAGAGTAGCCTAAGAATTGGTGGTGGTGGGTACTGTTGAAAGCTGCTTTTCCTCTAGTATACTGGTTAAAAATTAGGGACAGCTACACAGATAACCCTTGAGTTGTTTTGTGTGAGAATAGACTAATGAAAGTTTTATTTACAAATTGTGTTGTAAAATTAAATGAGTTTTCAATGTTTTATAAGAATATGTAAGTAATGGTGATAATTCTGTTAGGAATTGATGGTTTAAACTAACTTCTGTACAGAACAAGTAATTTGAAATTTTTCATAAAGTATTGCCAGCATATATATATATATGTGTGTGTGTGTGTGTGTGTGTAGTAATATATATATATATATATATATATATATTAGTACG